TTATTGGTGGGAGCTAAAAATTAATATATAAATTCACACACACACACACACACACAAAAACAAACCGGGGGGTTGGGAGGGGGGAAGAAGATATAACAACCACAATTACTTGAAGTTGATAAGACAAGCAAACAGAAAGGACATTTTTTGGGGGGAGGGAGGAGCGGGAGGAGGGAGGGTGGTTTTGGTAAGGGGCAACATTAATCAACCACAATGTATATCGACAAAATAAAATTTAAAAATAAATAAATAAATAAAACATTTAAAAAAATGTAAACAAAACAAAGCAAATCTATTGTGCGATTTTCAGTTTCATTAATATGTCATTTATAAGATCACCTTCCTCTGTAATACACTATATATTTTGTTTTTAAAATATAAACATGCTCTCAAACAGTGTTATTAAAAAAAGATTGTCACATTTCTCCTCTGCTTGTCTATGTTCTTTTTGCAAGAAGCAGTATCTAAATCTTAAATGTTTCGGCTATACATCTTACACTTCTTGTGTAGTAGCATCTTTTGTGTTCCAGGCTGAACGTTCTCATCACTTCTCACTTCCACTATAAAATATGTTAATCACTGCAACAAATTTTTTATTATTTTGTAGTAAAATGGATCCTAGAGAATTGACATTTTATCCACTAGAAATGAATGAAATTAAGTTAAGTAATGTAGAACACTCCAGCAATGCTCCTAAAGTTTTAAGCATTTCATTCCAAGAAATTATACAGTACCTAGCCAAAATGACTACATTATGTCGTAGTAGTGCAGGTTTGCAGTTTAAGAGAAGTTTGCAAAATTAAAAAAAAATACTTAAATAATATTTGTATAAAGCAGAAGAAAATGGACATATTTATTTCTATAAGTTATATTTATTTTTTTAAATGACTTGAAAAATTGGGCCACATTAAAAGATACACCATATAATTAGATATCTAAAACTGGGAGTATACAAAGGGTTTATAATACTTTAATTAAGGTAGAATTAAGCCCTATTATATTAGCAAGTGTTACAGATGCAAGAAAAAAATACTTTTTGAGTTTTGCTATAAACAGCATATCTTATAGATTGGGCAATAATTATTTATTATGAATAAATAATTTACTGGTTCCTAACAAGCTACAATTAGTGTTCAGAATTACTGAATTGCAGTTCATTAATTTAAAAGAAGTTTAGATTTAAAGATGCCCCTAAATTTGCAAATAATGGTTTATGTGTAGTGTTTGCAGAAATGCTGTAAAATATTCAAAGCTATATAT